GTTAAGGAAATACGTAAGACTTTCCTCATAGACAAGTAGTCAAAGGATATGAACAATTTTCTAAAGACCTGCAAACTTAACCTTTTGAAAGAATGCTTCAGATCACTAATAAGAGGAATGCACATCACAACTCAGAGGTTTTACCCTAGGGTTACACACAACAGATTGGCAGTGATGACAAAAGATGGGCATAGTCAATGTTGGAGGGGTTGTGCAAAGTCAGTCGCACTAATGTATTTTGGGTCAGTGAGGGGGACTTTGAATTAATGTGTAAGGCATTCTAGAAACACTGGAACCATGCAAACAAAGTAGCTAAAACATCCTTACTTTTTCACCCACAGATTCCACTACGAAGTCCATACCCCAAAAGTCATTGATAAAAAGAAAGACTCCATATTACACCAAAGTACTTACAGCAGCACTTTTTGTGGTAGTAAAGAACTGGAAACAAAGTTGATGCCCGTCAAGCTGGGGATGACTAAAGAAATTGTAGTACAAAAATGTAATGGAATATTACTGGTCAATGAGAAATGACACACACGATGAATTTGGAGAAAGCATGGAAAAAATTTTCATGAAGTGTTGTAAAGTGAAGTAAAGAGAGCCAAGCAAACAATGACTTCAACTATGTAAATTGAAATAGTAATAATAAAATAGTGCTTGTGATCTGTGTCAATAAAGGAGGCACACACATAAATGAAACCATAGATCCTTCAAATACTAAATTATAAAAGCTTTAAATTTTTCATCAAAGCAGCCCCCCCCCCAAAAAAAAAGCAACCTAACTTACTAAGTACTATTGGGAAAGCATGCAACTAAAAGTCCAAATTCATAAGCTCAGCTTTCAAACTTTTAGGGGGATTCTGTTTTTGTTCTGTGGGATGGCCCTTCAGGATAGGGGAAGAGGAGACATATAGGAAGAAAGTTGGCCATTTTAGAAGCAAAAAATATCAGTCAATATTTACTTTTATTTTATTTCTGCTATTATAAAAATAGTATAATAGTATTTTACATATAACAGATGCTTGATAAATATTAAATGAATCTTTTTTTTAATCACCCTAGTTTGATACCCAGGTAACTGGTATCATCAGGTTTTATGCACATGATTCCCAGACCTGTATATCCAACCTTAATCTCTCTTTGGCTCATCTTGTATCACCATTGCCTTTTCCAACAGCTTAAATACAGTGTTCCACAGGCACCTCAGACTCAACATATCCAAACCAGATCTCATTAACTTAACCCCAAATCATCCCCTCTTCCCAACTTTTTTGACTGTCAAGGGTACCACTATCTCCCCCTTCGAAGGTCTATCTTCCACTCAGACAAAGGGATTTTACTAAGGCCCAAGTCTGACCATGTTACTCTTACCCAGTAACAGCCAGTGTCCCCTGGTTCCCTGTACCTCCGGCATCCAATGTGAGATTCTCTGTTTGGCATTTAATTCCCTTCACCACCTGAGCCTGGCATGCTTTTGCCCTTTTCTTCCATTCTGCTCCCTCCCTACACTCCACAATCCAGCTGCACCAGCCTGCTTGCTGCTCCTTGCCCACCACATGCCACCTCCTGATTATGCCTTATGTTGGCAGTGACCCACAGCTGGAAGGCTTGGCCCTCACATCCAACTCCTGGCTTCTTTGGCTTCCTTCAGGACTGGGCTCAAATCCCACTTTCTGCAGGAAGCTTTTCCCATTCCCACCACCACCATTCAGCTCCTTCCCTGCAAGATTACCTTCCTTTTACGCTCTATGCATATGTGTGTGTTTGTATAAAATATGTGTGTGTGTGTGTATGTATATGTATGTATAATTATTTGCATGTTGTCTCCCCCATTCGAATGTGAATTTGAGAGCAAGGCCTATATTTTTATCTTTGTATCCCAGCTGCTCAGCACAGTACCTGTCACGTAGTAGACTGAAATGTTAATTGAATGTCTGACTGATTCATTCTAAGCTCAATCTAAGCTATTTTGCTATGTAGGAACAACTCAGTGTTTATGGTTTTATGTAGTTTAACAAGTACTTCCTTATTTTTCTGAACCACCTTTAGCTCTCGATTTCTGATCAAAGTACTTTTTAGCTTAAAATTTTAGAAAAAGAATTTTCTCTTTAGTCTTATTCTAGGCAAATTGTTATGAACAACTTTAACTTTTTCAAAGTATGTTGGCAGTATAGATGCTCAATAAAACATAGATCTATGATGGACAAAGTGGTGAATTTCCAAATAATGCATAATTGAAAGACCACCCAATGTAGTTATCCATATCTGAAAATAAAGTCTGTACATTCTGTCCAATATTTCTTCGTCCCAAAAAGTTTCACTAATAAATGTGTTAACCATTAGTTAACCAAAACACCTCGTTTCCCAGCCATACTAGTTACCTGAGGTGTTCATTGGTCATAGATTTAGTGCTGGAAGGAATTCTAGAGACCATCAAGTCTAGCATCTTCATTTTCTAGAGGAGTAATCTGAGACAGGGAGAGACTGAATGATTTGTACAGGGCCACATAGCCAGTAAGTGACTGAGGGGGGATTTGAAGTCAGGCCTTCCTGACTTCCTGCCTCTAAATGCTACTCATGTCCACTTGTTCTCCCTGCACCCCAGACTACTGTATCCTCATCTCAGCTCCCTGGTGTTGCTGGCTTCTTTCAAGTCCCAGCTACGATACCTCTTTCTTGAAGAAACCTTTCTTGATCCCCCTAATGCTGGTGCCTTCCATCTGTGGATGATCGCCAATTTATCCTGTATATCTCCTGTTCAACATAGCAGTTCTAATGTTGCCTCCTCCATTAGAACGTGAGCTTCTTTTGCCCTTATCTGTATCCCCAGCACTTGATATAGCACCTACCACATAGAAGACGCATGTTAAATGTCAAGTCAATGCTTTGATTTATTCATTTCAAAAAAAAAATGAGAAATGCTTCAAGTTCTTTACTGCTTTGAGATTCTTGGATTAAAAAATGCACAGCTATTTGGATTTTCACTATTTTGTAAACAGGCACAAGAACATCAGTTATATTTCTTTTTCTATTATAAGTGACCCTGTTAAACAAGATATTTTTTTCAGTATATTTTTATATACTATTAAGATTATTTCCTGTATCACAGGGCTACCATTCTGCTTTTGAAAACTGAATAGATAATTTAGTATTTTTAAGTCTACTGGAATCCAAATCAACTAATTAGCATATTTCTAAACAATTATAATTACCCTGAGAATGCTTAGGTTAGCTATAGCAAGGAAGAATAATTCTCTTTAAACATGAAACATCTCAAAGACATAAAAGACCTACTTTATAAATTGAGAGGCCTAAGACTCTTTTGCTTTATTTTGTTTACCAAATGTAATCAGAATCCCTGAGGATTTCATCTAAGATTGCAACCCTATAAAATATATCCTCATTCACCAAAATCTGAAGAAGAAGAAAAGAAATTGGTGAAAATAAAATAAGAGATCAAAGTAAGTTCTTCTTTTTCATCTCTGTGCAATGAAATGCAAATCTATTCACCAAGGACTGATATGCTTTTCTGCAACTGACAAAATTGTGGAAAGTCAAGCATGATTTTAAAAGGAGATGATTGTGTCATAAAATCATTTTTTGGCTCAGTGAATTATACGGTATTTAGGAAGGAGAGAGCTAGAAAGAACAAGTTGATTTAAAAGAATTCTTCACAAAACTTTCACTAAAAACGATAAAGTTTAATTTCTCATTACTTCTTAAAATGCCTCACTAGGCACTGGCCTACATTACTTTTGATATTCAAAAGCTTTAAAGTAGACTCCACAGAAGATGAAGGGGCAGGGAATTTGATTGACAAGGCTTTCTTTCTAAACCGGCCTTCCTCCTTCTAGGCCACCTACCTAGGTTAAGACAAAACAAAGAAAACAAAAAACAAAAAATGGAAAAGGCGGAAACAACAGAAACTGTTGTGACATGGCCATGTATCATTTTGCACTTGCAAAAAAGTTCAGGTTCTACTCATGACACATAACATGTGTGATCATGGATAAGTTACTCAATCTCTCATTGTCCTAAACAGCTCTTTAAAACTCTAAAGTTACAGTTGAGTTGTCATTTTGCTGATCATGAAAGGAGCTTCTATAGGATGAGTTTCCTACAGTAATGAGACCACAGGTATGGACTCCCCCCAAAAAAATAGTGACACAGAGAGCTGGTCCCTCAGTACCACCATTGTGCCTTTTAGAAATAAGCCATTTTTTTGAAACAATGACATGCTTTAAAGAACTATTAATAGGTGACATTCTTTCTGCAACTTTTTTTCTGAATGACTAGTAAAGGAAAATCACAATGGTAATAAAAACCTTTTGGTTTTAACAACTGAACTGAAAAGTTAATTATGTAATAACCAAAATTTTCCCTATGAAGGTTCAGATTGAACTGTAAAATAATCATGTCCTATATGAAATGTCAGAATTCTGAGTATTTAAGAATTTAAATAACCTAGGAATTTTTTACAATTTAAAATTCAATATGAAGTCTGGGAAAATTTCCCCTCCAAAAAGGAAATTTTTCATTGGTATTAATACTTGAACAAATGAAAAAGCATTTATTAAGTACTTACTATGTGCCAGGCACTGTGCTAAGCGCTAAGGTTATAAAATAGAAAATACAAGACAGTTCCTGACCTCAAGGACCTTAAATATTCTGATGGGAAAAAAATAGCACATATAGGAATATTAAATATTTAGATGATTTTGTGATTTCATCAGTTTGGGCACTCCTACCACTGTCACATATTTCAATTTCCTATACCTTCTTATGCTGTCCAATTCTAATTCACATATTTGTATAAATCCTCCATAGACACTGCACCCAAATCTTTAAAAATAACTAAAAAACATTTCTTTTAAAAAAATTGGGAAGTAATTTTTATAACAATATTAAAAAAATCTATTTGTATTAGGGATTGTCTCAACTACAAACTTGTATTATACTATCCCACACTGACTCATGGTATCTTATTATCTTTGTAGTATACTCCTGAACATGTGATTGGACCTGGAGCAGAAGTTGATCCCACTCAAATAACCTTTCCTGGATGCACTTGTCTCACAACTTCATGCCTCCCTACCATTTGTTCATGTCTCCTTCATGGAGAGAATTATGATAATTCATGCCTCAGAGACATAGAAAGTGAAATGGAATTTGCCAGACCGGTGTTTGAATGCAATGTCATGTGCCAGTGCAGTGAAGAATGCAAGAACAGAGTAGTTCAAAGAGGTCTGCAATTCAATCTCCAGGTGTTCAAGACTGATAAGAAAGGCTGGGGGCTTCGCACCTTGGAATTTATACCCAAAGGAAGGTTTGTGTGTGAATATGCTGGTGAAATTTTAGGATCTTCAGAGGCATGCAGAAGAATACGACGACAAACAAAGCATGATTTAAATTACATTATAGCTGTCAGAGAGCACATATGTAATGGCCAGATAATAGAAACATTTGTGGATCCTACCAACATAGGTAACATTGGCAGATTTCTTAACCATTCTTGTGAGCCAAATTTATTAATGGTCCCTGTCCGTGTTGACTCAATGGTGCCTAGGTTGGCACTTTTTGCAGCCAGAGACATTTTGCCAAAAGAAGAACTTTCTTATGACTATTCAGGAAGATTTCACAATCTTTTAAAGAGTAATGGAAACCAAGAAATTCCAGATAAAGACAAAACAGGGAAGCCTTGTTATTGTGGTACCAAATCATGTGCTGCTTTCTTGCCTTATGACAGTTCGCTATACTCACCCCTAGAAAAACAAACAACAAGTTGAAAGATCAGTTAAAGACTATGACATGAGGCTACCATTAGTGGTAAACATATATAGTCATGAGAATTGTTTCCACAGTTTGAACCAAAAGGCATTAAAATAAGCATATTATAACACTTACCAAATATAGAGTTGGTTATATTTTCATTTCAAACTATTTCATGATTGAGAATGGGATAGCATTTCCAAATCATAAAAATGAAAATAAGCATGTAACACAAAAGAGAGAATTCTGATAATGCCCATTGAATTGTGTGATGATTAAAAAATTCTGAGAGACATAGTTTCTGGGTAATTTAATCATTTTATTAATAAGACCAGCATGTTATTAATAAAAGGATAGTCATTTAGCCATCCTTCTCAGACCAAAGACCCCTAATGGCAGTGGGCTCCCAGATTCTATGCCCTTTGAAGAATAGGTGTTCCTGAGGAGGTGCCAATCAACTCTGACTGGTTAACACAATGGGAGGTGGGCTATATTAAAATGAGGGTCTTGGGGTATATAACTTAAGTCACCCAAATCTTGGTTATCAATTTCTATAATCACCTGTTTTAACAGAAGGGAGAATCAACATTTTCCCAGACCTGTTGAGCAAACACAGTGAGCAGAAATACACCCATTAGCCCAAACTTAGAAATTCTTTCACTATCTGATTAGATCTGGGTAAATCTCTCTTAGAGATTTCCTACACTAGTTGGTTTCTGGATGAGGAAGTTAAAAAAAAAGGAAAAACCTTGGTCCTGATTCAATAATTAGTTATTAAATACAAGAGAAATATTAATTTCTCATAATTGTGAACCTAATCATCCCTACTTTATAGCCCTATTGTATGACAGAGGAAACTATTTGGGAGTTTAGTAAACATCTTCAGAGTTCAAGATACTCTTTGAGCCCTGGTATGTCATTTAGCAAATTCCTATTCTAGGGCACTAAATAGTAAAACAGAAATAAGAAAAATTATATAAGTACTCTAGATCATGGAAGAGCTCTGTTAACCTTACCTTTGTATGTTGGACATCGCATGTCTTATTAAATACATCAATATTTGTTTCTTCCTCCACTAACGATCTACTCCAATGGTTCATTCAAGTCAGCAGGCATCTTTTACAATGTGCCAAGCACTGTGCTAAGTGGTGGGAATACAAATACAAGCAGAAACAAAGGCAGTCCCTGATCTCAAGGAGCTTACATTCTAATGGAAGAAAACAACATATACAAGTTATGGAGCACCATTTTAATAGAGTTCTACCTGACAAGTACTGTTTGTCAGGTAATACACCAGACATTCTCCTTTGGAAGCATGAACCAAAGCATATCCTGATATCTTTAGTCGTCTGAGGTCAATGTCACAGCATGTGAATAAGCCCTGGATTTGGACTGAAAAGATCCTAGTTCAAGATTCAGCTCTGCCACTTAACAACTATGACCTTGGCCAAGTCACTTAAACTTTCTCTGAGCCTCAGTTTTCTCATCTGTAAAAATATGGAGATTAATTGAGATAACATGATAAAGTGGAAAGAACCTTGAATTTGGAATCAGAAGCCTTGAGTTCAAATCTCAGTGATGCTAATGGCTTTAATCTCCCTGGTTCTCAGTTTCTTCATCTGTACAATGACAAGATTGTGCTCGATAATCTCCAAGATCCTAAATGTACAGTTCTAAATCTTGTGATCTTAGAGAATTTGCACAACCTCCTTCCCAGAGCTTTTGTAAGGATCAAGAGAAAGATTATATGTAAACAACTTTTTTACAGACATAAAGCACTCTATGAATGCAAGCTATTATTAGCATAGTGATTGCTCACAAAACGGCTCTTTGGGACAGTTAGAAGCAAAGCATTGAGCTGGATAGAGACCTTTGGTTTGATCTATGTCATTTTTGCGAACTGGTTTTCTTTTCCCAAAAGAATTGTTTGGCTGGGGGGGGGAGTGTGGAGGTAATTTAGCATATTCTTATTCGTAGAGGTGGTGATGAGGTTAAGGAGTGCTGGGACCCCAAAATCACCGCATGCAGGTCCTACCCGAAAGAATTCGACCCAAGCCTTCTTTCAGCCAAAGACAAGGTTTATTAGAACATCTGCCGTATTGGGCAGACTCTTAAGGAGTCTAAATATTAGTAAGCTATTGGTTACATTATCAGGAATCTGATTTTAAGAATCTGAGCATCTTAATGGAGACAAAATGGACCTTATATACAGAAAAGACTATGGGAGGGATCTAGGAATGGCCAAGTAGTTTGGAGTGACTGGAGGAGGGGTCTAAGGAAGATCTGAATGGGAGTGGCCAGTAAACTGGGGTGAACAGAACTCCTGGGACCTGGACAATGGAGCATAGTTAGGATTAAGAGTGGAAAGTGGCTGGGGGGCCATAGGGAGGGCTAGGCTAGGTTAAGGGTAACAGAGAATTGGGAGATTGGGAGCCACAATGAAAGGCCAGTTGATAAGATTATAGCCTCAGGGGAATGCCAGAGATTTAACCATATGGGAAAGTCCAGGGTTTTTCTTTTCTGGGGTCTAGATCCCATCCTCATCAGTGGTACCAATCCAGTTGAGCTCCAGAGATAATCACACTTGCTCTACTAATGTGACTTTAAAAAAGTTAAGTATAGGCTGTTACTGCTTTGAGGACAAAGTTTTCCATAAATAGTCACAAAAAGAAAAGTTTCACTTAACAATATAGTTTTATTATCCCTACAATGGAAAAATAGTATAATTACAAAATTAGAATAAAATATATGTGCATAGTTTTTGAATGCCAATATACCTTACTTTATGTAATAACTTTTTCTGAAAAAACAAGTGCCTTTGAAGCAAATTTTGAAAAATCATATTTTTCTATTTAGCTCATTTATAAATATGGAGATTTGTACTTTGGAAAGCATTTTGGCTTAAGGACATCATAAAAATCACAGTTAAGAATGCAGTCAACCCTCTAAAATCATCTATTTAAAGGAAAATTATAATTTACTGATAAAATATTAGTATTACTCATATAAAGTCAATGGCTTTTCTGAAGGATATTGTTCCAGGCTGAAAGGAAAAATTCGCCTCATTTAAAATGTGTAATTCTAGAGATAATTTCTCTTTCCCAGATAGGAACAATAGTTAACCTCTATTTAGATACTTCCTAGTCTCAAATGGGAAAATTAGAATCTCATTTTGAGAGTCTTTTTGTTTCCTAATCATTAAGATAAATATTGGTCTGTTCTAGAGGTGGGAGCATATGCTCTACCTGCTTTTAAAATTCTATGCCTAAAGTCAACATATGTCATCTGTGGTAGGTCAAGGGCAACACATTTATTTGGATGATTTTATGGATCTCTATCCATGCCTTGAACTTGGAGATCAGATTATTTTTCACCTTGTCCTACTTGTTCTGAGGAAGCTAAAAGATCAGGAGGTTCTCTTCTTTTAAGAGTTTTTGAAAGAGAAATATCCATATTATTAAAGGAAACAAGAATAGAGCTGGTTAGGGGAAGGGCTCTTTACCAGGTCCAAGAATCACAGCACAGAGTATTTAAAGACTGTAGTTTTTCTATTAATGTCCTTGTTTAAAATCTTGGTCAGTTTTATATGATAGTAAGCCTAATTCCTCCTATTTGGGCTCCACATTCTACTTGTAAGATAAGAAGAGAGATTTTCTTTATATATCACACATTTAAAAGAGTCATGGCACATTCAATTAGATTAAATTCAGCTAATATTTATCAAGCATGCATGATACTTAAATAGACCTGTAATCACATTGATTCAATAGTTCCTTCCATGCCTACCCAACCTGTGGAATTTTGGTCTATATTCACCTAAAGTTTGCCACAGGGTATCCACCCAACAAACTAGAGGCCCTCTGGGCCATTCACCTGTGATCTCTAGCTCTTACTACGAAGCCAGCCTCTTCCTATCTCACAATTCCTTGGTGCCTGTACATCTACAGTATGATAAACTTATATAGTTTTTGGAAACATCACAGTCTCTGCCTTCAGTGAACGCCCAACCTCCCTGGGGAGATGAAACCTATTTAACAATGTAAAACATGTGATTAAGTGTTTAAAAAAAAAAAGAAAAGAAAAAGTAAAACAGTTGTGGGACATTGACAATCTGGAGTCCCAGAGGTGAGTGATCAGAAGGGTGAAGGCACTAGGAATCATCAGCCTAGGGAACAGCAGATCTGTTCTCTAGAACTAGATTCTAGAAAAGATATCTTCAGATATCTGAAGGACAATCATATGGAAGGGAGTAGATATTTAATTCAGTTCAGCAGGCATTTATTAAGTATGCATGTGCCAGGAACCAGACTAGGTACTAGGATGTGGCAAAAACCTACTTCTGTGTAAATACTGAGGACAAAATTAAGACCAGGGGTTAGAATTTATGTAGTTGGGGGAGGAGGAAAAAGGGGGAGGCAGAGTTCAGCTCAGAAATGAAGATCTTCCCAATAGTTGTCTGTGAATGAACTGGGTAACTTGAGAAGCATGCAAGCTGAGATGGGATCCCCGTCTGTCAGGGGTATTAGAGAGGACATTCCCATTGGGGGTCAGAAGTTGGACTAAGTGATCTCTAAGGTCCCCAAGATTCTTTGCTGTTAATAAGGGCAGACTCCATGTAGGAAAGGAGCTGGGTCCTGAATAAGGGTAGAATTTGATAACTCAGCCCACCACCAACTTCATCTCCTGCCAATTTACTACTATGTTTATTAACTTACCAGAGTGGGATAGAAGCAAGGTTTGCATTGTATCAGAAAGGTTTTACTTTTCATTTAACTCGTATTTACATATCATTTTAAGTTTGACAAAGCACTTTTTATGCAGTGATAATGTGAGGTAGATCCAGATGACAGGTGTCTTCTAATGCAAAACTTATTTTACAGTTGAGGAAACTGAGGCCTAGTAACTTGCCTATGATCATTCAGGTAAAACTAGCTCCTCTGACTCCAAATCCAGTGCTCTTTCTACAGTTTCATACAGAGTCAGGATTTACACTCAGGTTTTCTTGACTCTAGGTCTAATATTCTTTCCACTACATCACACTGCTGCCTTTTAGAAGAATGGGGAGATAAAGTTTGACAAAAAGAATTACAAAAGCAAAATAATAAACTTCTGCTGGAGGTTTTTTCTCTTCTTTTCAAAAAAAAAAAAAGGATAACCACCAATCATGGAGCATTTAGGCATAACCCTAAAAAAAATAGAAGAGTAAATAAAGGAGAAATCAGAAACAACTGAAGTCACACTAAGGCATTTGACAAAAATTGCTGGAAAACTGGAAAGCTATTGAGGCAAAAATTATGTTTAGACCAGTATCTTATATCATATACTATAATAATTACAAAATTCACATGTGACTTGAATATTAAAAATCATACCAAAACTATTAGAAGAAAACTGGCTCAGAAACCCTTGTGGATAGCAAGTGAGTTTTTAACCAAATAAGGGATAGAAGTAATCACAAATAATAGATAATTTTGACTACATCAAATTGAAGATCTTTTGCATCATAAAAATTAGCACAACTAGGATAAAGAGGAAAGTGGCTAACTTTTTTTTTCCAGGAAAAAAATCAAACATCTGAGGGTCTGATATCCAAAATATGTAAGCAACTAACTGAAAAAGCCATTCCCTAAAAGACAAATGTTGAAGGATATAAACACTCAGTTCTCAAAAGAATTGCAAACTATGAAGAAAAGTTTTCCAAGGTACTAATAATAGAAAAACAACTCTGAGGTTTCACCTCACACTTGGCAAATTGGCAAAGATAACAGAAGATGGCAATAGTCAATGTTAGAGGAGTTTCAGAAAGACACAGTAATCCACTGCTTTGTGTCTTTTATTTCTCCGATAAAGTTGTCAGAATCCTCTGGTTTGGTTAACATGTCAATGAAATGGAAATGGGAGAAAGGGAATGAGAGGAGCATATAAGGGACCTTTAAGGATCCTCATAGAACAGTCAAAAGCATTTTTTTGCTCTGGAGTTGGAAAACCTGGGTTTAAGCCACACCTCTGTCACTACCTTTGTGACCTTGAGCAAGCCATTCTCTGCGCCTTATTTTCCTCATCTATAAAACATGAGTTGGAGCAGATGGCCTTTAACGTCCCTTCCAGCTCTCACATGATCAGGGAAGTAGAACAGACGTGGGTGGTAGTTAGATCTAAGATGTGACCATTGCTGTAAGTGGCTGAAGTCTAGTGAAGATGTTGGTCATGGGAGTTGAGGTTTTTGAACTGAAAAGCCGCCGTGCTTACAGGACATAGGTATATAAATTAAAGCCTTTGAGTATGGGAGTGATTTGGGATGAAGAAGAAGACTTCCAGGTCATCAACACCTTCAAATCAGAGGGAAAATAACCTAAAGATTAGTGGAAGACTGTAACAAGGATCTGAACCAGGTCATACTAGTGCATGAAATAAATGTCAGAAGAGGACGATTTGCTGAGTTATGCTGGCAAAGAGAGGGTCTAGAAGTGGCATTTAGGGAGTGAGGAATCTGTCCATTCCTCCTCCTGACCCATAGAGTTGGGGGGGGACATAAGAGAAGGAACATCTAGTACTAGAATGCGTAGCTGAGTATGCACTGTCTTCTGAGGGGAGCCAAACTTCCAAACATTACAGAAGTCAGAGTATCAAATGAAAAGATCTAGGTTGAAGGGGAATTTGTTCATAATAAATCAGGAGTTGCACAGGCTAGAAGAGAATGAGAAGGTAGAAGAGGATATGAACCAGGGAGGACTAGGACTGATACAGATCAGAGTAAGAGAACAGGGAGAAGTAGCATCAGTGAGGGGATTTTGTTACAGCAAAAAAGCAACTCTAAATCACAGAACAATGGAAGCAGGAGCTGAAATTTCACCCACCATTGGATTGGGGACCCCACTATCTAGGGTGCTGGGCCTTAGATTTGGGTGTTTAGCCTCAAGAAACTTAATATACTAATCTTAGACTGAGTTGAATCATCAGCTTCCATGGCTTGTCATTCCAAACACTGAGTAACATGAGGTGGAA